GCACAGCTGACCTGCTCAAGACCACACAAGCATTACCAATACAGAAGATAGACTTCATCTATATCACCTTCCTTTGGAGCTCATCATTTCCCTTCCTATCACATTAATTTGCAAGTAATTTATAAAACTACCTAAGGATAGCGATAACATACTGGCCCAATTATGTTCAATTTAAAAAATAATATTCAACTGGTATTTAAAATCTCACAGCACTATTTTTTTATCTCTTTCTTCCCTAATACATTCAAGTATATCCTAGCCCAGAAACAAGTCTGTGGCAAATTGAAATTTAAAATTTACCCTAAAATGTAGAATGATGGTAATATTTTATTGAAGAATTTAGTAATATGTAAGAATGAAAAAGTATTTGTCAGGAAGTTACTTGCCCATGAAGTTTAAAAGTGGTCTACAAAACTTGAGAATGATCTGTGGACTAAAAAAATATCACAGTTGCTAATGATGCAGTCAGGTATGTCTTGGCAGTCAAGCAGTAAAAAAAAAAGGCAATATATTATATATTGGATGCAAGAACATTTCCAGCTATCTAACTTTGATCTGAGTTTTAATTTCCTCCTTTAACAGCTGTAACCTAACTGAGGGGACATTTAGTCAAATAAATCTAGCAATTATCAAAGATTAATCCTTTAGCAAAGATTAATCCTTTAGCAATACAAGAGTGTAATAACAGAGCATAATACAGAATGTATAACATTGCAGAAGCAAAGCAAAAACGTAGTTGGAAATCTGAGTTTCTGTCGAGACACTGAATGTCTGTAGTTCTTTCTGCTCTGCTAGATTTAGCATTTTGAAGAAGCTCTACAATGACTGTTCAACATGTAAACTGCTTCGAAATGAAGAGAAACTAGTCTTTTATGCTGCGTTTCATTGTTACTTTCAAGTTAAATTGATCAAGGAGATCCCAATTTATACATTAAAGGAAACTCTCCTTTCTATTCCTTTCCATAGACTCCACAGACCTCCACCCCTACGTGCTGGTCTCCAGCAGTTTCAAGGACGATAGATGGCTAATGTGCTTCCTGCATTTTCCTATCACAGAGCATGGACTATTAGCTACGGGATGCTGTGAAGAGAGGAAAAAAGCTGAATAAGGAGACATTAACGACTATTCACCATTCTACGCACTTCTCCACTATATGGTTAAGGTTTTCTTTCCTGTTAAGAGCATAACAGAAAAAAGACTAGAGGATGAAAAGTTGACCAATGCAGTGAACTTTGATTCACAATTCCCTCCCACTCACCTCCCTGAGGCATGTGAATGACAATCTCAATAAGGTCAGGACAACTGTGGTCATAGTGCTCTCTTGCATAGTTATTCCCAAGTAGTAGCATCAAGTATTTTATCCCATTGTCTTGAAAGAACAAAATCTACTACAGAAGGTGTTTTATCCTGGTGAACTACATACACTCTGGCGAGCAAATCCAAGTGCAATCTTCCTGTGTTTGAAAACTTTCTCAACATCACTACAACCAGTATTTCAAGTCTCCAATCATACTTTGACACCCAACTCTGATAACTCAAATGTTAGAACTGATCTTCTTTCCTGAAGCTAATCAAATAGTTTACCAAATTTGGACATGAAACGGCTTGACATGGTCACTGCAGTTGCTCACGGAGATGGAGATCAAAACTTAACCAACATAAACATGCTTTCCACAACTGGTTGGTTGTGTTTTTAATTTTTTTAAAATTTCCTTACAATCTTGAGTTGGATTCACCTCAGTGAAATTCAGAATTTTTTTTAAATACCTTGGGAGAGCAGCTTCTTCAAAATTTGGCAAATTGTTATGTGCAGTATTTTAATCCCGTCAGTCAGTCATGAATACCAAGCCAGAATCAACTCATAGCTGACCCTCTAGTGAGTTTTCAGAGGCTGGAAATTGCAAGGTAGGCGGCTGCCCATCTTTCTAATGCATAGTGGCTGGCGGACCCGAAGCTCAGAGATGAATGGCCTTTTGGCTAGCAGCACAAATCTCTATCAACTGTATACTAGAGGCCCATATATTCTAAACTCTCTGTAACAATAAAATCAAACATTTATTCTATTCAATTTCAAATTTCAATGACTGATTTAATATCTATTATTCTTCTATAAGATCAATCAATAGATCTATTATAATGCATCTTTTAAATAATTAACTTGGCAGTATTTTTTAATTGAATTACTTTTTTATTATTAGTTTTAATAAAAATTTACAGAGACTTTGGATTTCCATTCATTCATTGTTGTACTTTTCTCCCTGCCCACCCCTCTCCCCAGTACGCTTTTCTCTTTGAAAAGTAAAAGAAAAATTCTTTCATTGTTTTACAATCCCTCCCCTCAAGTGCACTCCTTTATGCAGAACTTGGCAGTATTTTAAGATTATATTGACATTGACTATAAATAAAAACAAACTTCTTCAAATATACTCTCCCCTACCGTCTAATTATACAAAGTTCAAAGCATTTAGTATGTTGGATTATGACAGTTAAGTCAGAAGAAAGTTTTATAATACAAAAAACCTACTTTTACTCTTTATAGCACTAACAAATTCATCTAGGTTTACAGTAGCATGACCACTGGAAATTCAAAATGAAAGAAGAGATTCACTGAATTTATTCATTTAACAAATTACTGAGCACCAAAATGGAAAGGAAATTATTCTATTTTAAAATATGTTTCTATGTCTTTTTAAGATTCTTTAGTTAGCATATATCTTGTCATTTTCTCTAAAAGCATAAAGCTGACTGGGTCATAATGGCAGATATGCTAAAAGAACTGACAAGTATCAAATACTTCTAACTTTTTTTGATACATAGAGATCTTTTACATCACACAAAAAAACACACAGGAACACAGGTACTATTTGTTTAAATAGATGTTATGCAAAAATCACACAACTATCCATTCATTCCACAAGGCTGCCTACATTACTGAACAACTAAACTTGGGAGATTTATTTACAATTATCTTCCCTCCAATCTATTTCATGCTACTTAAGTGAAAATATTCCAAAAATAAGCACATCATCTAACTCATTTCCCCACCATAATTATGGTCACATTGATCTATTACAGAATTGTAACAAATATATATATACTACCAATAATACCAGGTATAAATGATACACTGAAAAATTTCTATCATTGAGGCAAATTTCAAATTGTGTCAGCAACTGCTAATAAATGTAACTCAACGTGAATAGTAATACTGCAGGTAGCTAAAATTTTTTTATATCCACAGTTGACTTTCTCTTTATGCTATAATATTTAAATAAGATAAGTCTAACATATACTAGTAACACAAATAAATGTCCAGCTGCATTTATTTATCAACAAGTGTTTTTATAAAATTCTCATTACAATCTCTAAATCATTAGGCTTTTAACAAAAGTGCTATATCAAAATATAAAGTCACAAACTTCCCCCTTCTTTTTAATAGGGCTTTAAAGGACATATATATAATATGGCTACCTAGCTAGATTAAGTAGTTTTTTTAAATCCTCAGTATGTGTTCCTGCCTTTGCTCTATGTATGGATGTATGCGTGTGTGCACTCGTGAATTAAAGCATGTATTTAGTTTCAACAGTCCTTCGAACAGTATCTCAAGTGCAGCCATTTATTTTCCATTTAAGTGGAAAAGCTAAAATGGGGTAGAGATAAAGCAAAAAGTAAGGAGGACAATTTCTATTTATTTAAATGTTTCTGTCTAAATCATACCACAGAGACACAAGTAGAAATAGAAAGTCCTAAGTTTAGAAATTATAGTATGTAAATGTTTCGACCAGGCAAAAACTGTCAAGCCAAACTGGATAGAATCAGTGAAAGCAGGGATCTGTTTACTGGAATATACAACTTGAAGGAGAAAATTTTGATACAGATCACTTCAATAGATAAAAAACAAGCCAAAACAACCAACAACTTTTCAGCCAAAGGCAATTCCCTTTTTATACCCCAAAGTGTCTGTCAGGTAATTTAAAACTATCTGTGTTCTTTTTCCCTCCTTGAACACTCAGTATTGGCTATTTTACATTCTTTGTACCTTTTACACTTTATAAAGATCAAACCACTAAAAAAAATCAACTTTGTCTAATTCATGAAATTATAAAAAAGGAAAGTTTAACGAAAATAACAATTTTCATACAAATAGTTTCTATAGGTACTCAGAAATAGTGCTTATGTAACCAGCAATATTTTTTCACCCTGAAGAACAGTAGACCCATATAATAAATCATTCAAGTTTCTGTAAAATACATTTTAATAAACCTACTGCCAAAACGAATCTAATACTTGTAAACAAACCAAATAATACTATTCCAACCTGTTTTTAAAATGTCCAAAGGAAAGAGATAGTCAATGACAGTGACTCATTATCACACTTACATGACCATTTTTAAGCTTTTAAATTGTCATCACAAGTATAAAAATATGGCTACAGTAGACATTAAAGAAAACAGAGTTTTCAGTAGCTCACCACAATATCAAAGGATTTTTCTCATGCAATAAATACATACACGAAGAAATAGTGCACTAAGGAATGGTAAAACCAAAACAAAACAACAAAATGTGTAATTCCAAACTCTACATGCAACATGCCAGCTGCAAGTTTAAAGCACAATATTGTCTCCAGATGAAACATGTTCAGCAGCAGATAATTATAAAGCTTTCCTGAAATGCTTTTTTAATAAAAGTCCCATAATGATATTATCATCATAAAAATTCACAGAGAAAGACAATTTATTAAAACTGCAGCATTCATTAACAGAGATGAAAAGTTTGAGTGGTTCATTCTTTTACCTTAGTGTCTAATAATTGGTTTAGAAATATTTTAGAGCTGTGATATTTTTAGGGGAAATAAAGCCTCAAAAACCACAAAGTTTCCACTGTTTTTTAAACATATACTTTCATAAATACAATACCAAGGTATAGTAATATGCTTGGAAATGTAAAATGTCCAAACCCTTTTTCCATTAATAATATCTGCATTTTACTGTTGTCTTACCTCAATAATTCTGTCATGAATCACCAGACCATCTGTTCTGTCAGCAGGTCCATTTTCCAAAATTTTTGAAACATAAATTCCTTCAGTTGATGTTTCTTCCTGATTATTCTATAAAGATCACAATCATTAGCATCAATAGTAAAAGTTAACCAGTATTAGATAAAGGCTACTTTAAACCACTGCCAATCTTCCTAAAATATGCACTTTTATTTAGCTGCAGCTTTGATACCGAATTTTAACTTACTTACCACCAAATAGTCATTAATCAAGATGGCAGCTTTAATGAGGAAGTCCAGTTTTTCTGGCTAGATTATGTATTTACTTCGCATTTTTAAGTACACATCAAAGAGCTATAGAGAAAGGGCAAGCAAGAGGGGCTATCAGCTGCCTCCTAAAAATAATTTATAAAACATCTGACTTGTATAGAGTGCTAGAAAATAAAAAGGGCACTAAAATTAAGATTAGGTGGAAGCATACCAAACTTCACTATATAGTAGAGTTGAGATCGTGTCATAGTTTTGGAAGTATAATTTAACTTCATGACCTAATAGATTGGAGAGGTAGCTACAACTCTGTCTATTCACAGGAGAGACCAGGAGCTTGCTCAAGTGTAAAATCACAGAAGATCAACTCTAAACCACTCTCCCAGGTGCAATTTGCCTAATGATTAGTTAAAAGTCCAGAGCATATCCCCAAGATGACACAAAGAGATTTTAGCCAGTCACAGGAAATCAATTATATTTAAAAACTTAATTTAAGGAAAATGTTCAATATCCTCTAGTTATATACCATATAATTTTAAATGTCATTTTACTTCATTGCAGGTTAAATGAAATTCTTTTTGCCTTAGTTAGACTTCCTTAACCAGAATTAAAATAGACTCTTAAAAATGTCCAATTTCATCCAAATGTGAAACACCTAACATTTATAAACATATTCAAGGAGAAAAAAATATTTTTTCATGGAGAGATTTCTACCTTTTCACAAGGGAGACTAGAAATACACCAGTGGTTAGTTACTAGGTTTTTTAAACACTAACACAAGGAAGAAGTATGTCTTAACCATCCTGACCTAAGCCTAGCATATGGTCCACAACTCTAATATGGTTTCCTAGGGCAACATCTGCAATGCAGGATGAAAAAAATTCATGGTAATTTATTGGGAAAATGAAAGAAGAGGATTCTTTAAAACTTCATCACCTTTTCTCAGTTATTGTAAAAGTTAAGGTTGGATTTAAAGGGCACAAAAGAACTTTGCTACTACAGTATATGGTACAAGTTTACAATTTAAAATAATTGGCATCCATAGGAAGAATACTATTTATTCTATTTAATAAAAGTTTTCATTTGAGGACCTGACATTTCAAATCAAGTATCTTTCTAAACTATTTCCTATTCAATTGTGAAAACAAGTACTCCTTATTTTAATTTGCAAAAACATAGGTTGATTCATTAATTATCCAGTCTGTTGTGGCCTATACACACTGAACAATTTGACTTAAAGCACAGGAAATACAATTAGCATTACAACTGCTGACCTGATATTATAAAATAAAACTTTCTTGGGGGGGCGGCGAGGAGAAAAGTGCGACAATGAATGAATGGAATTCCAAAATCTCTGCAGATGTTCTTTGAAATTAAAAAAAAAAAACCCTTTAAGACAAAAAAAAAATAAAATTTTCCTATCTACAATATAATAAAACACATTTTATAAATCAGGCAGAGTGCTATAGAACAAACTTCCTGCTGTGATGGGGAAAGGGAAACAGGCTGGGTGGTTTGTTTTTAATTTTAAAAAATCTAGGTATGTGTTGTGTGATATATGAAGGAATCAATGATATTTGATATCAGCATACCTATAAACTTTAACCCACCACGTTTTTCTTAGTTAAGATCCACAAATAAAAGCTGATTTTCCCAATTATTCTACAAATAAATGTTCAGTTAAGCATTAGTGAGTCAACTGACCTGATTTGGCCGACCTCCTATAATGTTGAATCCCAATGTGTCATTTTCTCTTTCTAATACAATGGTGAGTAGCTTATGTCCTCCACCCTAGAAGGGGGGAAAAGGATACAATGCATGTTGACTAATCCTGACTTCACTGTAAATTTAAACAAATTCCTGATTGAACTCTGTTTTATTATTTTCTTTATTTTATCTTTATTTTTATTTATTAGTACCTTTATTTGAAACTCTTTATGATTTTCCTTACTTAGAGATAGAAGTAAAATAGTTAAATGAATGACATTGTTGATATTTGTCATTAGTTGACAGCAACTCATAGCAGCCCTGTGAACAATAGCTCTGAACCCTGGTAAGCCAATCACACCATCTCTGACACACCTGACCCTATCTATTGCCGCCTTCACAGTGTCAATCCTTCTTATCCAGGGTCTTCCTCTCCTGTGCTGTCCCTCCCACCCTTCCAAGCATAAGGACCTTCTCCAAGGACTGGTCCCTCCTGGCCATGTGCCCAGAGTATGTGAGATAGAGCTTTGAAAGCCCAGCCTCTTGGTTCACCCTCCATACAACAGATCAATTTGTTCTCTTGGCAGTCCATGGTATGTCCAATACTCTTCTTCAGCACTACAACTCAAAGGTATCAATTCTTCTTTTGACATCTCTAGTCATTGTTCAGCTCTCTGATGCATAGTAAGTAATTGCAAGGATCATGGTCTAAATCAGGCACACCTTAGTCTCTAGACTAGCATTGTTGCTCTTGAGCAATCTTGAGAGATTCTTGACAGCAGACCTTCCCAATGCAACTTGTCTTTTTTATTTCCTGATTGCTTGGTCCCAAGACTGTTGACTGTGGAAATGAGCAAGATAAAAATGTTATCTCAAACTTTTCACCTACCATGATGCTGTCAATAGTATAATTTTATATTAAATTGCTATTTTGGAAAATTTTAGGGGATTTAGGAATAAATAGCTATTTATAATGCTTTGTGGTGGTGCAGTTGTTAAAGCACTCAACTGATAACCCAAAAGTGGGTAGTTCAAACCCACCGGCAGCTCCCAGGACAATGATACAAAAGTCTGCTCCTGTAAAGATCACAACTTTGGAATCCCAATGAGCAGTTTTTACTCTCTTAAAGGGTCACCGTGAATTAGAACAACTGCACAGCATTGGGTTCCGTTTTAATTTGAGCTATTTTATACATCTTTTAATGATAATATTCAGATTACTTCATATGATGTTGTTGTTGTTAGGTACTATAGAGAAAAGTTCGACTCATAGAAAACCTATGACCAATAGATATGAATCCTGTCCTATCCCCTGTCATCCCCAGTGATTTCTAACACATTTAAGTCCATTGCTGCAGTGACTGTCAATCCATCTCTTTAAGAGTTTTCCTGTTTCTCTGATCTTCTCTACCTTTCCAAGCATGATATTCTTTTCCAAGGAATACCTTCTCCTACCAACACACCTATATAAATGACATGAAACTCACTATCCTTGCTTGCAAAGAGCACTTTTATTGTTGTCAAAGTTGACTATGATCTATAGCAACCCTATGAACAATGGCTCTGAAGCTTGCTCTGTCCTAAGCCAACTTCACCATGTCTGACACACGTGATCCTATTTGCACAGTCACTGTGGGAATCCATCTCATCCAGAGGCTTCTTCTGTACTGAACCTTTATGCTTCCAAGTATGGTGTCCTTCTCCAAGTACCAGTCCTACCTTGTGACAAGCCCAAACTATTCCAGACAGAGCTTTAAAATCCTTGTCTCTAAGAAGCAATCTAGATTCACCTTCTTCAGGATTGATCTATTTGTTTTCTTGACAGTCCATGATATGTTCAATACTATTCTCTGGAACCATAACTCAAAGACATTGATTCTTTTTCTGTTATCTTTATTCAATGCCCAGCTCTCAGATGTACAGCAAATAATTTCAAAGATCATTGACTGGATCAGGTGCACCTTAGTCTCTAGATTGACATCATTACTCTTCATCACTACGCAGAGATCCTTGGCAGTAGATTTTCACAGTGAAATAATCTTTTGAGTCTCTGACAGCTGGTACCAAGAATGTTGATTGTGGATCCAAGCAAGGTGAAAAATCATTTCTCTATCATAATACTGCCTATTGGCCTGGTGGTGAAGATCTCTGTTTTTTTGAGGTTAAGATATAATCCATATTGAAGGCTGTACTAAGATCTTATACATAGCAATAATAATTTCAAATAGTCCTTTCAGTTTTGAGTAATTCTTGCAGAACAATAATAAAGTTTTTGAAAGGATGTCTTATATGTATTTCTTTGTTGATGACTAGTAAACAGATATCATGTCTATTACCTACTACTTTTTAGTTGGTAAAGAGCAATCAGAATATGACTTTATTCCTATTTATGAAAGTTTTTAACTATCTTCACAATTTAGGTGTTTGACAATTACTTCTGAATCTAAAATTTCACCAGTATCACCACGTCTCCCAGGAGGCTCTCCCAGGCAGTGCACACAGCAACCCCTACTGGCGGTGCCATAATATTACTACAGAGGAGACTATATAGATGTATAGAAATATAGATATATATGATATATAAAGATATATATCTTTTTCTACATATATATATATGTTGTTGTTGTTGTTGTTGTTATGTGCCGTCGAGTCGCCTATGATTCATAGCGACCCTATGTACAACAGCCCTAAACTCCGCTCTGTCCTGTGCCAATCGAACCGTCTCTGACACTCCCATCCCAATTATCCCAGTCACTGAATCAATCCACCTCATAGAGGGCCTTCCTCTCCTGCGCTGTCCCTCCACCCTCCCAAGCATGATGTCCCTCTCCAAGGACTGGTTTCTCCTCACAACATGTCCAAAGTATGTTAGAAGGAGCCTCAGAATCCTCGCCTCCAAGGAGCCACCCGGTTTAACCCTTTCCAGGACAAATCTGTTTGTTTTCCTAACAGTCCATGGTATTCTCAATACTCTTCTCCAGCACCACAGCTCAAAGGCATCAATTCTCCTTCTATCCTCCTTGGTCATCGTCCAACTCTCTGATGCATATATATAGGTTTGCATACAACATTTGAATATATGTTTAATTCATGTTGTTTGTATTTCACACATTTCATCATTCACACATTGTATTTCATGCTATCATTGTCATGTACTGTGTTTTACAAAATTAATCCCCATTAATCTATGCCCACTATCAGCCCATCTTTTCAGGTCTCCACTAGATCTATTCTAACCTCTTCATCCCCTCCCTAAATCCACCAAACCCTGCCAACTGGTGATTTCCTCACCCCCCCCCATTCCCCTTTTGAACTTCTATCCATATCTTACTAGTAGACTTTTGATAATTAGGCTCCAAACAGGGAACTCACTTCCAGGAACCATAAACTTCCTTGTTGCATAGGTTTCTGTAATTTAGTACTAGTTATTGCACCTTTCTATCAATCAATGATGCCCTAAAACCTAGAAACCTGCAGGCGTAATTCAGAAGGGCATCTCTGTGCTTCTCAGCCATTCCATTTTATAGCTCTGCCAATAGGTGTACCAGTATTACTAGCTGCCCAGTGGCCCCAGTGCATAAGGGTTCAGACAATAATTTAAAAGTCGGCGCTTCTACCCTCTCAGCCTAGAGAAAGATATGACAGTGTGCTTCTGCAGAGGTCTACAGTCCTGCAAACCCCTTGGGGCAATCCTACTCTGTCCTATAGGGTAGCTGTGAATCAGCATCCACTGGCAGCAATGGGTTGGTTTAGTTTGGGGTATTCCAGGAGCTTAAGAATCACAGCAGCCCACCTTTTGTAGGCTTATTTATTAGGGTAGAACCATTTTCTCCCCCTCACTCTAATCATCTTTGAGGTTCAAGAACAGAAGCTTCTAAATGCCTCAGCTGGAGCATACAAAACAACTCCAAAAGGGAGTCCTCCAGCATCGTTTCTCCCCAGGAGTGCAGAATGAAAACCGCTCCTTGAATGGAGTGCAAGTTCTGTTAAATCCTTGTTCACCATGGCAGCGCCCAACAATGTCAAACACTGTACAGAAACCCTCCACAAGAGAAGTAACAGCTTTATAAACAAGCCTCTTCACACAGGGTGCTGCAGAAAGGCTTGCTTATTCGCTCTGAAAACAGGCTTTCCACCAGCAGCTTCCACAAAGCAGAAAAGCACTCTTTGCTCTCCAGCAGACTGGGTGGATGTGACTGGACAGGAGCTGGGCTTTGCAAACTGTCTCTCTCACTCAAGGCTACCACCACCCTCACCACACCTGTAGGCCAGGCATGGTCCTCTAGGGAAGGTCAAGGTGGTGGGGGAAAAGGCAGTCCTAAGAAATCCTTCTCTCAACTCTTGAGATTGTCCTGGTCCATCCATTCCCGTTAGTCCCTGGCATGTGCAGAAGGCAGGTGACCAGGCAAACTAAGTCTTTCAGAGCTGTAAACTATTCCCCGGTGTGAACAGACAGAGCAGTGGGGAGGTGGGGGAGGAAAGGCAGGGTCGGAGTGCTCTTAGCTCCCTCGCATTTCTGTCACAGATTTTTTTTTTTTAAGGTACAAAAATTAGGCAGAGACAGGCAAGATAATAAACGATGAGTTGCAAGAATCTGGGTGGGGAAATAAGCTTTCTCAAGTCCAGCTTCTCCTTGAAAAAAGTTACAAGTGCATCTGTTTAACTCTTTGTAATCCTAAAATAAGTGGGAAGAGTACAATAAAATGCTAATACTGTAATAAAATGATACTATTAAAATATGATCAGGGCTGATAGATGCTTCCTAATGCTTAGTAAGGAAGATTAGAGAACCATTCCTCTTTTCCTCCCAATGCATCATCCCCCAGGATCTTTCCAGCCCAATGCAGCATCATTCCCTCTGTACTTACAGAGCCGAGGTGGCCGCCCAGGTCCTTGGAGAAGTTGTCTATGTGAGCCATGTACTGGATGAACTTCTCCTGGTATCTGCGTGCCATGAGCTGCACCTCGCCTTGCAGCGCCAGGAGCTGCGCCTGCAGCTCTTTCTCGCGCCGCCTCCAGACCAGCGCCTGCGGTTCGGGTCCCCGCCCGCTCCCTCTACGGCCGCCGCGCGCGCCCCCGCCTTGGCCAGCCACCCTCACGGGGACGTCCCCACCCCCGGCAGGAGGTCTGGAGGCACTGCCTTCGCCGTGCGGGCGCTCAGGGCCGTAGTCACAGCGCTCGACGTGTGCAGCCAGCTCGTGCAGTCTGACCGTGCGGTCGCAGCCGCGGACGCGGTAGTCGCACTGGATGCGCAGCTTCTGGATGAGGCTGCGCAGCGGCAGCACCCGGTGCAGCTCGCCAGGAGCCAGGGGCCGGCACTGCAGCGGGCACCGGCGCCGCCTCACCGCCCAGGGCAGCAGGCAGCTGGCGCAGAAGACGTGGCCGCACGGAGTGCACAGGGGATCCTCCAGCACCTGGCCGCAAAGCTTGCACTCCAAATCAGAGTCCACCGCTTCAGCGAAGCGCTCCAGCGCAAAGCCCATGTTAGGAGACCAGGGAAGGAGACGCAGCGAATGGGAGGCAAAATGGGGCCCACCTCTTCACAGCCCCCCGGTATTCCTCGCTAAGAATGGTTCCTTGCCCAGGTCCTTGGGGCTGCAGCAACCAGTGCTGCTTTGAGGGGAGGAGACGCAGAGCGGGGAGTGTGATCTCAGAGTTTGTTTGGCTGAAGTTTTCAGCTTTAAGCAAGGGTGCCAGACTTCGCCGTATTGACGCTAATAGGCGCTACCTGGAGATACACGGCCCGCCCCCAATCCCCTTCACAAATGGGCGACTTCTTTTCAATTTTGTCCCCTGGGAGCTGATGTTGTTTTAAAATTGTCCTCAGGGAAACTGTGCTCTCCTTTGGCCGCTAGATGAGATTCCAGAAGGCAATAATCTTGGCAGAGCTGGTAATGGGCACTGCGTGGATGCTGAGAAATATTCATTTCTCCATGTCAGCAGGATCTTTCTGGCTTTCTGATTTTCTGCTGAGCCCTCATCCTCATCGTCCGACATCAAGTCGGTCTTCACTAAATATGTTTGAAATAGACGTCTTTTAAATCTGCCAGAATTTTTAACAGCTTTGTTACTGCAATTTTAGGGCTTGACTATTTGCAGATCTAGGCTTCTCACAGGTGAATGTAGAGAAGTGGGGATGATTACTTGAGTGCAAATGAGTGTAAAAATGAGGGAAAGCCAGTCCCCGCCCCGACCTTCTAACTAGCATCATCTGCCTCTCAAGACTTCTTGATGGTCAAGGTAGTTGGAATTGTTGCCATCCATCTTCCTGACTCCACAGGCATTTTAGAATATTGAAAATGGTAAGATTGGAATTGTTGTTGTTGTTATGTGCCATGGAGTCGCTTGCGACTCGTAGCATAAGAAAAGATAATTAAAGGGAGGGATGATTTTGAAGACAAATAGGAAACATATTTTTAATGACTACTTTCCTGGACATAATCTGAACAAACAGCCTAGGATCCAAATTGGTCCCTCTTACACACAGGTAAACCCTTCAAAAAAGCTTAAGTTGCTGTAGCTCATTGCAAACATTCAGTAAAAGGTCCTTCCGAACTCTTTGCTCAACCGCTTTCACCATCTCTGAATTTTAGGAATGCAAATAGACCCACCACCTGGCTGAGAACAGCTTCTGTTATCCTGAAGCGAATACCAGATGCTAAGGATCTATTTATCAAATTATTCACTGATGTTTTCTTCTAAGGCACTATTGTTCCGCGAAAGCTGTGTAGTTCTCTACAGCATTAATCCGTATTAGTTTAACTCATAGAGACTCTAAACTCTGTGTTTTAAATCTTTGGAATTAGCTGAAGAATTAGAAAATTATAAGCTAAACCATCTTTCTATGAAAATTGAGATTTTTACTACGTCTGTTCAATATCTAGAGAGGATCCTAGAATAGCTTGCCAGAGATTTAAAGTGCTAATATATATATTTTCAGTACCATTTGCTATTGTATTCCATCTTTGCTTATTGCCTTTAGCCTTTCTCTCAAATAAGTAAACAAACAGTAAATTCCTGAACATGTAAGCCGTCATTTAAGAGTAACAGCATAAACATATTCTTGTGAATTGGACAGGCTGGAGAAGCTGTGTGTTACAGAATTTATCCAAATTATTCTGAGGAGTAGGGATCTATTCTACTTAACAGCCATAAGGACTTGATTATTTCCATGCTAGCATTTTCTAAAATTGGAAGAGATGTAAATGAAAGATATTCTACTAAGATGTTTTAAAGGAACTAGGGCAATGAAACTTACAACTGCATGAAAAGAAAAAAAAATTACGGTTATGTGACATCCTTGTTGTTATTTTTGTTATGTGCCATCTAGCTGCTTGTGACTCATAGCGACCCTATGTACAACAGCCCTAAACTCTGCTCTGTCCTGTGCCAATCTCACCGTCTCCAATACACCCATCTCAATTACCCCAGTCACTGAATCAATCCACCTCATAGAGGGCCTTCCCCTCCTGCGCTGTCCCTCCACCCTCCCAAGCATGATGTTCCTCTCCAAGGACCGGTCCCTCATTACAACATGTCCAAAGTTTGTTAGACGGAGCCTCAGAATCCTTGCCTCCACGGAGCCATCCGGTTTAATTCTTTCCAGGATGAGTCTGTTTTCCTAGCAGTCCATGGTACCCTCCAGCATCACAGCTCAAAGGCATCAATTCTCCTTCTATCCTCCTTAGTCATTGTCCAACTCTCTGATGCATAACAAGTGATAGCAAAGACCATGGCCTATATCAGATGCACCTTAGTCTCCAGAGAGACACCATTGCTCTTCAGTACTTTGGAGAAGTCCCTTAGTATATCCATTTATTTTCTGTACCAAAAGTAAGGATATTGTGCTGACTATATGGCATGATTAATTATAAGATGTTTGTTGTTGTTGTTGTTGTTGTTGTTGTTGTTATGTGTCATCGATCGAGTCACTTGTGACTCATAGCGATCCTATGTACAAGAGCCCTAAACCCTGCTCTATCCTGTTCCAACCTCACTGTCTCTCACATACCTACTCCTATTACTCCAATCACTGAATCGATCCATTTCATCGAGGGTTTCGTCTCTTGGGCTGTCCCTCCACTCTCACACTAAGATGTATAGTCTTCTGTTTATTAAAGACAAAAAGGAAATAGAAAAATCTTGTCTATGGAGAATAAGTTTAAAAATGGAACATGTGAATGAAACCAAGTAATGAAGTAGGTCAAAGGAAGCAGAGAAAAATTTTTCATATGAAAAAATGCAAGCTTGAGCACTTCCAAAAGAGTCAAGTACCAGAAGAAAAAGTTTGTAAGAGAAGAATGCTAAACTGAATGGACATGCCTATCTGAACCTCATGGTCTCTTCACATATAAAAACACTGTGACAACAGTTTAACCAAGTGATCTCTTTTCACTTTTCAGAATAACATATGACTAAAAAATTTGGTGAGCTAGAATTATTAAATCCAAATTAGTTTAGTAAGCAAATAATTTTATTAAAATTTATTATTAAATCACACAATTTATCCCAGAAAAACAGATCCAAAAAAATTTAGTTGAATTAGGCAACTGAGACAAATTGGCACCTTGTTATCATTAAGTTGTGTATATTCTTATATTTTCCATGATCATCATTTAACCTCAAAATCATGGTTAGTGAAAGTTGTACATTAAAAATAATATTGAGGGGAAACAGCTGAAAGTCAAACTGCTATTTTTTTGTTGGGCTAGGGTAATGTATAGTTGGCTTCCTGCTGAATGTGGTCAAGCTTATGTCTGTCACCTTTTTCATAACTTTATTCCAGCTGCCCTTAGAGTGTGCTTTATTGATGGAAAGATAGAAGGCAAAACACTAATTCATCCCCATGCCAAGGATTATGGCTTGATCCAGTGTCTTTAAGTAGAGTTTGTGCATTTGAGTATAGTCACTAGCTTATTTTTCAGTACTGTTAAGGTCATCTACCCATGGAAACAGAATAACAATAAACGTGCTAGATTCCTTCAAGAGCTCTGGTGGTTTAGTGATGAGGAGTGGTGCTGTCAATGCAAATTTACCAGCTGATCCATGGAAGAGTGGTGGGCAATCTCCTCACATGCAATTTACTGCTTCTGGAAACCCTCTGGAGGGTTAGCTTTGAGTCGGTTCTGATTTAATGGCACATAACAACAACGTAATCTGTGAAACAATTCCTAAAGCAGTGAAGAAGCTAAGATGTGTCCATGGCTATTTCCAATGAGAAGAAAAAGATTTCCAATTCAGTTCTAAATCATCCCTGCTTTCAAAGAAATAATAGAGAATCTGGGAAATGACTGACTGGTGGTTGAGTAAAAAAATAGGAGACCTAGGATGGAAATGCTATTCTAGGTCCAAAACTCTGATATTATGCATCTACCTCGTGTATGATTATGCAAAGGAATTTGACTGTGTGGATCATAACAAACTGTGGCTGACTCTGAGAAGTATGGGAATCCCAGAACACTTGATCATGCTAATGTGAAACCTATACTTGGACCAAGAGGCAGTCATCAGAACAGAGCAAGGGAACACTGCATGGTTCAAAATTGGGAAGGGCGTACTCCAGGGATATGTCCTGTCTCCATACCTTTTCAACCTCTATGGAGAACAGGTTATCTGGGAGGCTTGGCTCTATGAGGAGAAATGTGGTATCAGGATTGGCAGAAGATTCATCAACAATCTGTGTTATGCAGATGACACAACCCTGCACTTACCATAGAAGGTCAAGGACTGAAGCCTTCAATATCAATTGAGGCTCAATGTCAAGAAGACAAAGATTCTCACCACTGGACCAATTGGCAGCATCAGGATGGATGGTGAAGAGATTGCGATTGTTCACAGCTTTAGTCAGATTGGCTCCACGGCCAACACTCTTGACACCAGCAGCCAGAAAATTAAGAGATGTATTGCCATGGGAAAGTCTGATGTTAGGGACCTCTCCAAAGTACTGAAGAGCAATGGTGTCTCTCTGGAGACTAAGGTGCATCTGATACAGGCCATGGTCTTTGCAATAACTTGTTATGCATCAGAGAGTTGGACAATGACTAGGGAGGATAGAAGGACAATTGATACCTTTGAGCTTTGGTGTTAGAGAAGAGTATTGAGGGTACCATGGACTGCTAAGAAAACAGACAAACAAATTCAACCTTGAGAGGGTTAAACCAGAATGTTCCTTGGAGGCAAGGATTCTGGGGCTTCTTCTGACATACTTTGGACATGCTGTAAGGAGAGACTGGTCCTTGGAGAAGGACATCATGCTTGGGAGGGTGGAGTGCAGGCACAAGAGGGGAAGACCTTCTATGAGGTGGATTGATTCAGTGACTGGGGTAATCGGGATGGGTGTGTCAGACACAGTGAGATTGGCACAGGACAGAGCAGAGTTTAGGGCTGTTGTACATAGGGTCACTATGAGTCTCAAGTGACTCAACGGCTCATAACAACAAAAACAACAACCACCTCATGTGTAGGGAACACTGGTATCCTAGTG